CGTTTAGAGCTTGTAAAACATTGTGGAGAAACACTGATTCAATCCAGCTACCATATATGAATATACAGCACAGCGCATACATTCGAGTTTGTTTACATTTAATTAGCTTGAACTCTTTCATTAACTTATTTAACAGACAGTCATTCCAACAGAAACAGTTAAAACTTTTTATAAACTGTTCCATCCAACGTTTCAGACTTTTGGGTTAGGGGACTATTTTACTTTCTGTTTCGAAAATAATCTGACTTATTTTGGATTCTTAATATCTACGATCCATTTAGTAAGTTTCTTTTTAACTTGTTCATTATAACAAAATATCACTATTGAGATGGTGAATATGAGTTGTAGACCAGATTGATGATTGTGGTGATATTTCGTTCTTGTTAGGATATTCACCAAATATCCTAAGAATACTATTTTTAGAACTGCAATCCTATTGGTCGAATTCTATTGGCCGAAATTTTGATCGTTCTTACCGTCAGGGTCAAATACTTCATGTTATCTCTTATTGGTCATCTGGACGCTCAATGTCATTCAAATGTTCTTTTCTATTGGTCGTCCTAAATTGTCAATGTCACGGACGTTGATGCTTTTTCTCATTCGACCTTAGTGTATAAATACGCGCTATCTGGAAGACTTAATAATTCCGTTTCCCCTGCCTACTTCTTCTTCTGTTTTCGACCCAATAAACATCTTCCTTCCACGGTGTTACGTTCTGATTTCTAGGAGATTTGGAAAAGCCTTTTGGGTCGTATTGTGATATTTGAATTGGACGCCGTTAGGACTGAAGATTTACGTAGCCGCGTTTACAACAAATTTGGCGACGGGTTGGTGACTAATTATGGATCCAGCTACATTAGAAAAATTGTTTGCACAGCAGCTGAAGCTGATGGAGATGCTTACTCAGACGCACATCTCTTCTCAAGTCTCATCTACACCAACAATTCCTCAGTCAGTTGATGGTATGACCAGTAGTATTTCTGAGTTTCTGTATGATCCTGACGCCAATATTACATTTGATACTTGGTTCATGCGTTATGAAGATCTTTTCAAAGTTGATTTTGCTGACAAAGATGATTCCTGGAAGGTGCGTCTTCTCCTTCGAAAACTTGGTCCGTCAGAACTGGACAAGTATCGCAACTTCATCCTACCGCAGAACCCGCGTGACCGATCATTCGATGCTACGGTTCAGTCCCTGAGCAAACTTTTTGGGGATCAGCATTCTATTTTCAATACACGTTATCGTTGTTTAAAACTAGTCATGAATGAGTCCGATGACTTCTTGACTCATGTTGGTATTGTCAACCGCGAGTGTGAACGGTTCAAACACAGATCCCTTACTGATGACCAATTCAAATCACTCATATTCATATGCAGTCTACAATCACCCAAATTCTCCGACATCAGAACTCGATTGCTTAACCGCCTCGAACAAGACCCAACACTGACACTCGATGCTATCGCTGATGAGTATCAACGCATCACCAACTTACAGTGTGACACCACTTTGGTTCAGTCTGGGAGCCAGGGTGGTTCCGAAGTTCACGTTGTTCAGCAACAGAACAAATCTTCTAGATCGAAAAACTTTGGTCGTTCGAATGCCAGTTCTGTTTCTAATCACTCAAAATCAGCGCATAAGAAGCCTCCCTCACCATGTTGGCACTGTGGAGACTGGCATTACGTGAAATTTTGTCCATTCAAGCAGCATGTGTGCAATCGCTGTCAGAAAATTGGTCATAAAAGCGGTTTTTGCCAATCAACCCGATTCACTGGCCGGCGAAATCCACAGTCGCAGCGCCGTTATCCCAGAAAGCCGTTTGCTGCATCTAGGAGTTTAGCAGCAGCCTTTCACACCGATGCTTCTACTCGACGCAAATTTCTGACCCTCTCGATCAATGGTCAGCTGGTTCGAATGCAGTTGGATACTGCATCAGATATCACTATTCTGTCAGAAGAGACTTGGCGAACCTTGGGTCAACCACGCATCAAACCATCATCGCAGATAGTTGTCAGTGCCTGTGGGGGTCACCTTCGTCTTCGTGGTAAACTTGATTGCTGTGTTTCGTTCAGAGATACAACCTTCAATGGAACATGCTATATCAACAAGTCTCCTCACAACCTTCTGGGGTTAGATTGGTTCGAAAAACTTGGTCTCGCTGATCTTCCCATCAATACTGTCTGCAATCAAGTAAAAACTCCTGCCGTTACACAACAGCATGCTGCAAAATTTCAAAAACGACTCACTGAACCGCTTCAGCCTGGTATCGGACTGCAGCCAGTTGCCATGCCTGAAGGAAATGTGATCTCAGATAACTTGTGTGACGTCACCATGCATATCAAGTCCCGAGATAAAGCAAACTGGGGTGATGGAGAAAAACATGATACAATAAACAGAAAAAGATATTCACGTGACTCCATTCTTTCTTGTAAATCTTCAAGCGTCGAAGTGAAGTTAGTAAATGATAAGGATATCATGAAAAGCCTTTCAAATACCAAAAGACCTCGTGATCAACTAAGGCCAGGGGGAGATAAAGGGAAACGTAAAATTACGAAGCGCCTCCCACTCTGTTTGCTGTTGGATACTTATCAAGTTCCGCCAATACCTCCACCAGAAACTATCGAGTCATCTACTCAAACAGAACATCCTACAGCTCCAGGGATTTTATCTCCAAGGTGGTCGAAACGCAAGCGAAGAAAATCAAATGATTTCAAGTAAACCCTCGGCTGCGTCGCTGTTATGTATTTTTTTCTTCCAGAGGGAGGTGTTAGGATATTCACCAAATATCCTAAGAATACTATTTTTAGAACTGCAATCCTATTGGTCGAATTCTATTGGCCGAAATTTTGATCGTTCTTACCGTCAGGGTCAAATACTTCATGTTATCTCTTATTGGTCATCTGGACGCTCAATGTCATTCAAATGTTCTTTTCTATTGGTCGTCCTAAATTGTCAATGTCACGGACGTTGATGCTTTTTCTCATTCGACCTTAGTGTATAAATACGCGCTATCTGGAAGACTTAATAATTCCGTTTCCCCTGCCTACTTCTTCTTCTGTTTTCGACCCAATAAACATCTTCCTTCCACGGTGTTACGTTCTGATTTCTAGGAGATTTGGAAAAGCCTTTTGGGTCGTATTGTGATATTTGAATTGGACGCCGTTAGGACTGAAGATTTACGTAGCCGCGTTTACAACAGTTCTCTGAGCTCCTTTGATCTGTTTCTTGATCCTATGTTTACCTATGATTTTTCTGATTGGTTGATAAATTGGGTAAACGTCGATGTTTTGTTGACTGACTTGAGTGGCAAGCTTCTAGAAATTCTCTAGTGTTCTTTGCGCTCTCCTTATCCAGTATTTCCACATTGTTCCACTCGAACGTATGTCCATAGTTGTCCGTATGTATTGATATAAACGAAGAAATGTCGTGGTGTTTGACTGCTAACTGATGTTTGCTTAAACGAAGCTGAAGAGGACGTCCATTTTGTCCTGTGTAGTGTTTTTCATAATCTGAGCAATTTATTTTGTGGATTATATTTGGTTTTTCTTCCTTTGTCGTTTTTTCCTTGGTTTGAATACGATTTTTTTAAGTGATTTTGTCGGTGGATGTGGTACACCTATTCTAAACGGCTTCAGTAATCTTTCTGAAATTTCCGATTGTTATTTATTTATGTAGGATGATCAGTTTATTGGTCCCTGCACTTATTTTACTCCTGCTGATGGGTTTCGGTTGATATTTTTTAAAGCCATCGTGTAGATGGCAGTTCTTCCCGGAGATAGTCATCAAATTTCTCTTGATAAGTTGTATGTTGACGTTCCAGGGAGGGATACAGTTGGATGTAGTGGAATTTTGTGTTTTGTAGTTCCGGCCTACCGTAGAATTACTGGTCCATCGGATTTCATTCTCTGTTGGTTTTGTTTTGATATTTGTCCTGCTTTGACAAGCTTGTGTAGGGTCCTTAAGATTTGGTTGTCCAACATTTTTATTGGGTGTGTCGATTGGTTTATAGACGCTTCTGTCAGCAAGTAGCTCCTCTGCTTTCCTGATATATTCTTCCTTGTCCATAATTACTGTAGTGCATCCTTTGTTCGCAGAGACTATCAATATATCTTCCCTGGTTCTAAGTTTCTTTAAGACCTTTTGTTGTTGTGCAGTTAGTTGGTTTTTGACTCTCTTCTGTCGAGCCATGTTAATAGGTGCGGACTACGTAGTCAAGACTCGTAGTTAGCGTGACCCACCCGTAGCTGTCACCTTGACGTGGTGGTCGGGTTTGCCTGTCGTGATGACCCGACCGACCAATATTGGCTGGAGCATCTGTTCCTGTAGGTTCTATCATGCCAGACAGGTCGATTGCAGAACGATGAGACTAGTAGCATATACTCAAGGTCTGAGGGCGAAGTCGTACTGCTGACTGTAGAGAGGAGTGACAGCAGTAAGGTGTTTGCCTCGGACAAGCAGCATCTGCAGCGACGCTGTCTTCTCACAAAGAAGGAAAGGGTTAGAAAAGTTCGACCCTAGAATAGGGTCGAACTTTTCTAACCCTTTCCTTCTTTGTGAGAAGACAGCGTCGCTGCAGATGCTTGTCCGAGGCAAACACCTTACTGCTGTCACTCCTCTCTACAGTCAGCAGTACGACTTCGCCCTCAGACCTTGAGTATATGCTACTAGTCTCATCGTTCTGCAATCGACCTGTCTGGCATGATAGAACCTACAGGAACATATGTTCCAGCCAATATTGGTCGGTCGGGTCATCACGACAGGCAAACCCGACCACCACGTCAAGGTGACAGCTACGGGTGGGTCACGCTAACTACGAGTCTTGACTACGTAGTCCGCACCTATTAACATGGCTCGACAGAAGAGAGTCAAAAACCAACTAACTGCACAACAACAAAAGGTCTTAAAGAAACTTAGAACCAGGGAAGATATATTGATAGTCTCTGCGAACAAAGGATGCACTACAGTAATTATGGACAAGGAAGAATATATCAGGAAAGCAGAGGAGCTACTTGCTGACAGAAGCGTCTATAAACCAATCGACACACCCAATAAAAATGTTGGACAACCAAATCTTAAGGACCCTACACAAGCTTGTCAAAGCAGGACAAATATCAAAACAAAACCAACAGAGAATGAAATCCGATGGACCAGTAATTCTACGGTAGGCCGGAACTACAAAAACACAAAATTCCACTACATCCAACTGTATCCCTCCCTGGAACGTCAACATACAACTTATCAAGAGAAATTTGATGACTATCTTCCGGAAGAACTGCCATCTACACGATGGCTTTAAAAAATATCAACCGAAACCATCAGCAGGAGTAAAATAAGTGCAGGGACCAATAAACTGATCATCCTACCATAAATAAATAACAATCGGAAATTTCAGAAAGATTACTGAAGCCGTTTGGAATAGGTGTACCACACACACCGACAAAATCACTTAAAGCAATCGTATTCAAACCAAGGAAAAAACGACAAAGGAAGAAAAACCAAATATAATCCACAAAATAAATTGCTCAGATTATGAAAAACACTACACAGGACAAAATGGACGTCCTCTTCAGCTTCGTTTAAGCAAACATCAGTTAGCAGTCAAACACCACGACATTTCTTCGTTTATATCAATACATACGGACAACTATGGACATACGTTCGAGTGGAACAATGTGGAAATACTGGATAAGGAGAGCGCAAAGAACACTAGAGAATTTCTAGAAGCTTGCCACTCAAGTCAGTCAACAAAACATCGACGTTTACCCAATTTATCAACCAATCAGAAAAATCATAGGTAAACATAGGATCAAGAAACAGATCAAAGGAGCTCAGAGAACTGTTGTAAACGCGGCTACGTAAATCTTCAGTCCTAACGGCGTCCAATTCAAATATCACAATACGACCCAAGGCTTTCCCAAATCTCCTAGAAATCAGAACGTAACACCGTGGAAGGAAGATGTTTATTGGGTCGAAAACAGCAGAACAAGTAGGCAGGGGAAACGGAATTATTAAGTCTTCCAGATAGCGCGTATTTATACACTAAGGTCGAATAAGAAAAAGCATCAACGTCCGTGACATTGACAATTTAGGACGACCAATAGAAAAGAACATTTGAATGACATTGACCGTCCAGATGACCAATAAGAGGTAACATTGAAGTATTTGACCCTGACGGTAAGAACGATCATAATTTCGGCCAATAGAATTCGACCAATAGGATTGCAGTTCTAAAAATAGTATTCTTAGGATATTTGGTGAATATCCTAACACCTCCCTCTGGAAGAAAAAAAAATACATAACACCGACGCAGCCGAGGGTTTACTTGAAATCATTTGATTTTCTTCGCTTGCGTTTCGACCACCTCGGAGATAAAATCCCTGGAGCTGTAGGATGTTCTGTTTGAGTAGATGACTCGATAGTGTCTGTTGGAGGTATTGGCGGAACTTGATAAGTATCCAACAGCAAACAGAGTGGGAGGCGCTTCGTAATTTTACCTTTCTCTTTATCTCCCCCTGGCCTTAGTTGATCACGAGGTCTTTTGGTATTTGAAAGGCTTTTCATGATATCCTTATCATTTACTAGCTTCACTTCGACGCTTGAAGATTTACAAGAAAGAATGGAGTCACGTGAATATCTTTTTCTGTTTATTGTATCATGGTTTTCTCCATCACCCCAGTTTGCTTTATCTTGGGACTTGACATGCATGGTGACGTCACACAAGTTATCTGAGATCACATTTTCTTCAGGCATGGCAACTGGCTGCAGTCCGATACCAGGCTGAAGCGGTTCAGTGAGTCGTTTTTGAAAATCTGCAGCATGCTGTTGTGTAACGGCAGGAGTTTTTACTTGATTGCAGACAGTATTGATGGGAAGATCAGCGAGACCAAGTTTTTCGAACCAATCTAACCCCAGAAGGTTGTGAGGAGACTTGTTGATATAGCATGTTCCATTGAAGGTTGTATCTCTGAACGAAACACAGCAATCAAGTTTACCACGAAGACGAAGGTGACCCCCACAGGCACTGACAACTGTCTGCGATGATGGTTTGATGCGTGGTTGACCCAAGGTTCGCCAAGTCTCTTCTGACAGAATAGTGATATCTGATGCAGTATCCAACTGCATTCGAACCAGCTGACCATTGATCGAGAGGGTCAGAAATTTGCGTCGAGTAGAAGCATCGGTGTGAAAAGCTGCTGCTAAACTCCTAGATGCAGCAACCGGCTTTTTGGAATAACGACGCTGCGTCTGTGAATTTCGCCGGCCAGTGAATTTGGTTGATTGGCAAAAACCGCTTTTATGACCAATTTTCTGACAGCGATTGCACACATGCTGCTTGAATGGACAAAATTTCACATAATGCCAGTCTCCACAGTGCCAACATGGTGAGGGGGGCTTCTTATGCGTTGATTTTGAGTGATTAGAAACAGAACTGGCATTCGAACGACCAAAGGTTTTCGATCTAGAAGATTTGTTCTGCTGCTGAACAACGTGAACTTCGGAACCACTCTGGCTCCCAGACTGAACCAAAGTGGTGTCACACTGTACGTTGGTGATGCGTTGATACTCATCAGCGATAGCATCGAGTGTCAGTGTTGGGTCTTGTTCGAGGCGGTTAAGCAATCGAGTTCTGATGTCGGAGAATTTGGGTGATTGTAGACTGCATATGAATATGAGTGATTTGAATTGGTCATCAGTAAGGGATCTGTGTTTGAACCGTTCACACTCGCGGTTGACAATACCAACATGAGTCAAGAAGTCATCGGACTCATTCATGACTAGTTTTAAACAACGATAACGTGTATTGAAAATAGAATGCTGATCCCCAAAAAGTTTGCTCAGGGACTGAACCGTAGCATCGAATGATCGGTCACGCGGGTTCTGCGGTAGGATGAAGTTGCGATACTTGTCCAGTTCTGACGGACCAAGTTTTCGAAGGAGAAGACGCACCTTCCAGGAATCATCTTTGTCAGCAAAATCAACTTTGAAAAGATCTTCATAACGCATGAACCAAGTATCAAATGTAATATTGGCGTCAGGATCATACAGAAACTCAGAAATACTACTGGTCATACCATCAACTGACTGAGGAATTGTTGGTGTAGATGAGACTTGAGAAGAGATGTGCTTCTGAGTAAGCATCTCCATCAGCTTCAGCTGCTGTGCAAACAATTTTTCTAATGTAGCTGGATCCATATTTAGTCACCAACCCGTCGCCAAATTTGTTGTAAACGCGGCTACGTAAATCTTCAGTCCTAACGGCGTCCAATTCAAATATCACAAAACGACCCAAAAGGCTTTTCCAAATCTCCTAGAAATCAGAACGTAACACCGTGGCAGGAAGATGTTTATTGGGTCGAAAACAGCAGAACAAGTAGGCAGGGGAAACGGAATTATTAAGTCTTCCAGATAGCGCGTATTTATACACTAAGGTCGAATGAGAAAAAGCATCAACGTCCGTGACATTGACAATTTAGGAAGACCAATAGAAAAGAACATTTGAATGACATTGACCGTCCAGATGACCAATAAGAGATAACATTGAAGTATTTGACCATGACGGTAAGAACGATCATAATTTCGGCCAATAGAATTCGACCAATAGGATTGCACTTCTAAAAATAGTATTCTTAGGATATTTGGTGAATATCCTAACAAGAACGAAATATCACCACAATCATCAATCTGGTCTACAACTCATATTCACCATCTCAATAGTGATATTTTGTTATAATGAACAAGTTAAAAAGAAACTTACTAAATGGATCGTAGATATTAAGAATCCAAAATAAGTCAGATTATTTTCGAAACAGAAAGTAAAATAGTCCCCTAACCCAAAAGTCTGAAACGTTGGATGGGACAGTTTATAAAAAGTTTTAACTGTTTCTGTTGGAATGACTGTCTGTTAAATAAGTTAATGAAAGAGTTCAAGCTAATTAAATGTAAACAAACTCGAATGTATGCGCTGTGCTGTATATTCATATATGGTAGCTGGATTGAATCAGTGTTTCTCCACAATGTTTTACAAGCTCTAAACGTTTTTTATCGGAGAAATGTGATTCAGTATCATGTATTAAATAAAAACTATGATGAACTTACGACTCCCACGACTTTGGTGCTGAACCAACTGAAAATAATCAGGCTGCACAGAGAAAACGTAGTACAACCCACAAATGAATAAAGTAATGAGGAAGAAACTTGGTCTTGTAGGTATTTGTAGGTAGCCACTGGACAGCCGAGAATAAATGAACCAGTTAGGATAAGTTTAAATCGTGAAATCACCTACGGAAAAAGTTAAAAGATCAATGCATCGATACTGAATTATATTAATTTCGGTTAACAGTGAATTAAATGTATGTTCCGAATGTCTACAAGTGGGTTGGAATACAATTTCGTTTGCGTCTAATTACCATTATTGGTTATTGTTACGATAATGAATAGGTGTTTTAAACTTGACATTCCTTTTAATTACACCGTTGCTAATATGCGTTAGATTGTAAAAATATTTTCGTGAAGGGGATATAGAGATGAAATTTATTGGGTAATGTTAAACAAATTTCTGTTGGATGGAAAGCTCAAACTTTCTAGTTTGTACTGAAATCGGTTTTGGCGGTGAATAGATTTTCTTGGGACCTATAATCAAATTCAGTGGAATTATGAATGTATTTTCATTTTGCTAGATTTCCGAGCTTTTCCCGTACTTCATCAGTTAATGACAGATTCCTAAGACTTGGGAAATTTTGCAGCTAGTTGCAAATATTTAGTTTTACTTATGGCTGAATCACAGTTAATTACTTGAGACCTATCAGCAGAATTGACTTCCTTAATATATTTTGAAGAAAATATGTATGGAGGTCAACACTGTATTCAGTAATTTATGAAAACATGTTGCTAATTCATAGAGAACTGATTGGTTGAGTTGAATCTATCTGCTCCACATTTCGTGTTAATGACTTGGTAACTTTTAAAAGGCAAACAATTAGGAACAGACCTGAAGGGAAACTATGGAACGCAGGCGATATATAGGTATCCAAAGTTTATTTCTATCAACAGGCAGTTCTAACTTGTGTCCAGAGTGCAACGAACGAGTTTGCAAGCTTGAAGATCTTGGAAATCGTTTAGTCAATAATGACGATTGCGTAAACAGAGAGGGAAATGTATAGAACTTGTGATTTGCGCCAAAAATTGTCGGTATTTTCATCTTGGATAGACTAATTATGAAGCATACGTTCTTTGCAACATATATTTCTCCTCATTTAAAAAAGAACTTCATCTAATCTAAATAAAGAGGAAAAACAGTTTAGTTAAGCACTATCGACATAGGATTAAAAGGTGCTCGCACTTAAATACTTATGGATTATCTCGCACTGGATTCTTTATGATGTAATAAATGGGAATCGCTCGCCACCTCGTCTTTATAATAAACGGAACAAGAATTTGTTGAGTGGATCAAAAACTGTCAGTGATCTGAGTGATAACTTATTTGCATAATTTATAGAGATATTTTAATGCATTCGGAAAAGAGAAGAAAAATCTTAAGTTTTTACAATGAACTACATCAATTTGCAGACATATTTCTATGTCACGGTAATTTTCCAACCGTAAAATAAAGAGAGCGTGTGCATGCTAGAATGAGACATATAGACTTATTTCATCAGCAACAATGAAGTAACGTCCCGTTAGGATGAATTTAAGCCATCAAGATGAATAACGTGTAATTCCGATTGGCAAACTGTATTATAATACAAGTTTTCACAAGAGATTTTCTCGTTACTCCTTTTACTTTTCACTTTCGTGGCTACTTGCACTTTTCGAGATTCCAATATTCTAGGTAAGACTTTAATTTCAGAGTAAACCATCTGTAAGCCAATCGGGTTACTATTAAAATAATGTTAGATTAACATTTCTATGCCTTATTATCTTTATAATTAGCTCAGTTTTATTCACGAGTAAAATTATGTCTACAAAATTTCATTGCCTTTTAGAATGTTACTACTGCTAGCAAGATTGTTTTCATTCTACTGAATTAAATAGTGTAAGAAGCTGATTATGAGGCTTCTCCAAAAGACCTGCTGGAAAACGAAGTCCTACATTATAGGGACATCCCGAAAATCACAGGTGATTCCATTAGTGAATGAGTTTATTTTGCTAGTATAAAATGGAGACAATACTCTACAATAGATCGTATAATATAATATTTTTTGTGCACACGAAACTTCAATAGGGGCATATAAGTAACTCTACTAAATGAACCGTTTACACAAGCAGGATGCCACCAAATTGTATTGGCAATCGTCCTCACTAATTAGATTACATTGTAGTGCAATGATTATATATATAGGTCACATTCACTGTACACGTTATTACTTGTTCTTAATTCATATATTCATTTAAAACATTGTAGTTTCGAAAATCAACATGCATATGACCTTACAAATGTGATGGTTTGAGTCATAAATAATTTGATTTTTTGAAATAAGTGATATGAGAAGATATAGCACGAATGTTATGGGAAAATAAAATGGAGTTTCATAGAAATCTACGAATTTAACTAATTGTTTATTTTGTACACACCATAATTACTAATCGTGATATTTTCCAGTTAGTGAATGGAAAAGTATCCTAGAATAGATCAAAATACAGCGTTGACTGAAAGAAAAATGAAGAGTTATCTCATTTTCCTCAAATTGTTGAAAATATACTAATTTTACACTTATTTTACAAAGACGTACATCTCAATAAACCGACAGATTAATAGGATCTGAATACAATTTCACCTGTTTATTGAAATAATATGAAAATAAATAATTTAGATTAGTGACCGCATTATATCCGCCTACATTCTGCAACAATTTGCATGGTGAATTTCCGTCAATTGATATTATCACAGAAAGTGGTAATGGTGAAATCCTTTGAATAAACCATTTAAAAATATCAATAACAAGTGATAGACAATGCAACGAAACCAAATCTGCATACCAATACCAATTTAGATAATAAAACCAAAAGCAAATGATGCTTTAATTAAAATTATAATTGCAAAAAAACAATTGATAACAAATGTACGTAAAAATAAATAAAGGACATCACAGTCGATAATCTGAAAAACCATGATATGGTCTGAGAACTGTATACAAAAAATTCGAAAACTAAAGTTTCTTTTGAAGTGGTGACAATATCTCTGAATAAATAAAGTATGAATAAACAGGCATAAATGTATAAATTTAGACTTGCACCAGAATAGACATGCAACAATGGGACCTAAAAAAGAGTCCACATAAATATTTAAGCCATCAAAATAAACAGTATCAGCCATAACCAGAAGAAAATCACGATTGGAGATGTAATGACAGGTCCCATTGAAAATCTTTTTCCAAGGAACACCATATAACTGTTAGATCAACAAAATATACTCAAGCATCCAAATGTTCAGGATATATATCCTATAAGAAAATTCAATGGTATATAAAGATCAATAACGTGAAAATAATACATATAAAACGGGTGAATAAATTTTGATTTGATTAGTATAAACAGGATTGTTGTAGCATTTGATTTAAACTGAAAATAAAATTTAAGAGAATTTCTATAGAAGATTCCAAATCAGCGACCTGCAAGGATTAAATTATTTGATACGAAACAGGTGTTTATGTCACTTCGAAGAACTTTCTACCCAAGCTTGAGGCAGTACCAACACACCTCCCAATAGACGTCACCCCACCAACAATCCAAAAACTTATCATGGACATCAAAAAAATTAAAAGCGGCAAAGCAACAGGACTAGACAACATACTAGCTGAAGCACTGAAAGCAGACATAGCAGTAGCAAAAAAGTTACTCCACAATCTCTACAGTATAATTTGGGAGAAAGAACAAGTACCAACAGACTAGAATGGAGGACACCTCATCAATATACAAAAGAAAGATCTTAGCAAGTATCAGAAATGCATAGGCATAACTCTACTATTATTACCGAGAAAAGTCTTCAACAGAGTAACGTCGAAATAAATGAAAGATTCAGTAGATGCCCAACTTCAGGATCAGAAGGTTGGATTGCGTAATGATGGATTATAGACCGATCAGAGCGCAATACTACAAATCATTATGTAACAACCAGCTAAACGGAACTTATCATTCTACATCAATTTTCCTGCACTGGCACAATATGTTGAGTGGCTAGCCGAAAGAACGTGCACAAATTTCTATGCTTGAAGGAGCAGTTATGGGAGTTAGGTCTTCGTTTAGAAAAATAATGAAGTCTCATGATGAAAGCTGAGTTCCTTCGGACGTCATGAGGCCAATGCACCTTCTGACAACCAGAACCCTTCCACGGTGTGAGCAGACAGGAAGTAACATACGCCAACATACCTAATAAAACACACGAGACCAAACTGGTCACAATCGAATCCTTTTCACAACTCCTAATACCATTCTTATCTCCTCAAACAACTCTCACTTCGATCGTTTATCACCTCGCGCAACTGAAGCGAACTGTTTGAGCACACGAAATATTATTCATACATTCCTGGAACCCCGCACTAAATTACATGTTGGAGCTTTAAATGTTCGAACATTGTGTTAAATAAGGCAACAGGCTTCATTAGATAGAAAAATGGAATCCCGAGAGATCGATATAGATTGCGTCTCCGAAACGCGCACACAAGATCCGAATAAAATCATCAATTTGATTTCATTTTCCGCATATAAAGAAACAATACGGTTTACACTTCGGGTACATAGAAGCCCTGATGATGCTTCCCGGAGTCTCGCTGGTGTAGGTATAGCATAAGGTAGAACTGGCTCTCGTAAACTGGATCCCAGTAGATAGTCGCTTGTGTGCTGTCCGAATAAAAGGGACAGTAGGGACTCTAAAAGAACACTGGCCATTGCCACTTCGTCATATCTTGCTAGGTTCCCACTGACTGCAGTTCAGAAGAGGTTACGGATGAATTTTACAGAAAGCGATCGGACCTCCTTCAGAACTTTAGGCACTCTGATATAGTAATAATGGCTGGAGACTTCAATACTCACGTAGGTAGACTGAGTGAAAAGGAAAGACACGTGG